CCCTACAAACCCCACGACTACACCGCCCGAAACATTTCCTCCGGCCATCATAACACCGACGAATCCCACCACCACAAGCCCTGTAACCATTCCTTCCACTTCACCAATCACTCTTCCTCCTGTCGTGACGACAAACCCAACGACGACAACTGTTCCTGAATTCGCACCTCCTGTCGTAACTAACGCTCCCGCGATTCCCGGACAGAGCTGGTGCGTTGCGAGGCCCGGAACTTCTCAGATTTCGCTTCAAGAAGCTTTGGATTTCGCCTGCGGAGTCGGAGGAGCGGATTGCTCGCAGATACAGCAAGGCGGAAACTGTTATATCCCCAACACGATCCAGAATCATGCTTCGGCTGCGTTCAACAGCTATTACCAGAAGAACCCTTCACCTCAAAGCTGTGACTTTGGTGGTGCAGCTGTGGTGGTTAACACCAACCCAAGTGAGGAAAAGAAAAAAAAAACACCGAACGTTAATGTTTGAACGCTTGTGTTTTTGTTTATTTTTTTTTAACGATGATTTTTCGGGTTCTTGATCGGTTTATGCGTACAGGCAGTGGTTCTTGCATCTACCAGTTGTTTTCTTCAGCATCTCTATCAACACCGACCCCATCGACTCAAACCGTAACACAACCAGCAACGCCGACGGCAATCACACCAACTGGTGGAGGCATGATCGGGTAAAGTGTTCATTTCAAGAGCTTGTCGTCTTGAAACTGTTTCTGATCCGGCGCTGGGCAAAAGAACAAATATCCGAATTTCGTGTCTGAGTAATATATGAGATGTGGTGGGATTAAAACGCGAGGAAAATCCGAAAATTGGGTTCGCTTTCGGGTAATTGGATCCCAAATCGGATATTAACCTGATACCCAGATCACCAGTAAAATGATATTTTTATCCCTAAATTTTAGATAATACAGCCCTACTAAATATCTTAAAACATCGGATTCCAATTTGGGTTTTGGATATTCATCTCAAATCAACTTCTACTATATGAAATATATTTAAGAAAAAAAAAATTAAAATTTCGTATAATTTTGGATTCGAATAACACCTATACTCAGATATTATATATATCGGATACCCGATACCGTATAATATCTCTAAAACCCGTGTCCTTCCCTATTTCCGAGTACTTGGAAGTTGAAGCTGTCTGTTCAATGTTAAATTGCAGATACGCCACTCCTCCACCGGTCTTTAACCCGGCGAATCCATTCCCAAATACACCAACGAATCCAGCTTCAGGAACAACAGCAGCAGTTTATGGCTTTGATGGCTCACCTTCTACCACATCGGAATCTACCCGGTTGCAGATACGCTTTGATCATGTTCTGGTGACGGCAACTTCAGTCCTTGCAGGGTTCCTAGGTCTTTGGAAGTAGAAACACACCCCACAGAACTGTCTGAAATAGTTTTGTCTTTAGCTGCTTACAGAAGCTTCAGTTGTTTAAAATTAAGCATCATTACACAAACAAGAACAGGAGCTAGGAATCTGTAAACACAGTTTGATTTCATTCAGGTCGACGTGCTTGCTTTACTGTTTGTTTGCTACCGAAAGCTAAATTCAAGTTTTGTACATAAACTGTACTGAAACATATAGATAAGGTACTCCTATGTGTATGTCCTTTATAAAACCCTAATTTGATAAACGGCGTCGTTTATAAGATCTCTCCATTTCCTTCGAAACTAATGGGCCTGTCATTTATCTTAGGCCCATTTCGGATATCCACTGGGTTTGCCTTTTGCCCTCATAATTATAATTGATTCAGTCTAAACTTTGTTCGGCTTCATTTCAATTCGATGATAAATATTATTTAGTTGAAATCGAAATTGAAATATTAGCTCTAAGTTATAAATTAAACTAAATCAAATCAAAACCGGTTTTGAAACGAAGTTATCACTTCTATTTTAGCTGCTGTGATTATAAAAGTGAAGAAAAAAGAACAAAAAGATAATAAGTTTATATACATATAAATGAATACATACATACATACATACATACATACATACATACATACATACATACATATATACAAAAGAAAAAAGGTTCAAGGAAAAAACTAAAAGAGGAAATTTTATTTGATTTGTAGCAAGTAACTCGTACAAATATCTATATTATACTATATATATGTGTGTGTATATATATAAACATTAGTTAGTGGAAAGTGTTAGGATTGGATGTTGGGAAAATAGGTGGGAGGTATGGGGCCTATGGGCAAGAGTAAGGCAGGTAGATTCACGCCACCATCATATGCACGCCTTTGTCCGATCTCTTGCTTCATATTTCTACTTGTATGCTTTCTTAGCATCATAGAATTATAGTTATTGTTATTTAGATTTTCTATTTGAACAATCACACACACACACATATATATATATATATATATATATGTATATATGCCGCCAAACCGGCAACATCTCTGCGTTTCACCAGTAGATTATTGCCAAAATATGAGTGGGATGATCATCTTCGAAATTTATATTCGTTGAATGCGATGTGTGTGTGTATATATATATATATCGTCATGATAATAAAGTTTTCTAGATTTGTGTGGCACGTAGATGAAATGATAAAACCATTAAAGATATATACACATTTAATGTTTATAAGAGATGTAGAGGCTTGGTTCTAACTAATTATATATATATGCACACACACATATGTGCAAGAAGGTCAGCCATGGCTACATATTATTAACTTCCCAAAACCTCTAGGGTTTTCTTTTGAAATTCTTTAAATTTATAAATAATAACGGTGAAAAAATCCATATTATTTTCTAAAAGACCATACTTTTGTAGTTTTACGAATTTTAGAAAATCATATACTATTTTACAATTACAAACTACTTATATTTAGTGCTTGATTTCTTTTAAATATTTGGATTATATATATAATTATATATTCTCATTTTACATGTATTACGTATATGTGTGCGTATATACATGGACTTGGACGCAATTGAAGAGCCGACAAATGTCTAGATTAAGAGTGGAAAGGGACAGTGCAAAGAGAGGTTCCAATGGATGATGGATTCATTGCATTTGCAAATTGTCTTTAATACGAACAAAAGCAAACGTATCATCTTCTTCAACGTGGTCCCAGTGCCCTTCTCCAGTTCACGTCATGTTGACACGTGTCACATCCCCTGATCATCGTTACCATCGCCATCATCATGTCATCATCGTCATCAAATTCTAACATCTACGTAGATATAATATACTATAACACTTGTACAGTTGTACTTTTGACGTACGATGACGTTTTGATCCTCCTAAACTGATTTTGAGGGATGTCCTCAATTTCGTTATTTTTTTTTCTAAAATACTTATTAATTTATAATAGGACAAAAAGCGTATATTTTTGTTATTTTTAAATTCAGTTTTTTTCTTTCTCGAAACGATTGTCTCGCAATTGTATTTTACCTCAGTTCTCCATTGTTGTTTGTTGTAAATTTCAAATTCCGGGTATATTTTATTGTAATTCAAGTTCGATTTTTTTATTGGTTTTATAAAATTATATTTATTTCGTTTCTATTTCAATTTCTAGTTCAATTTGAATTCTATTGGCATTCAATTTTGGTTGAATTTTATTTAAATAAATATATATTTCTAAAATTTGTTGCTTATCGATTTTTCCGTTTAAAATTCTTATAAAATCAATTAATTTAATTTAATATATATATATATATATTTATAGATCAATATTCGATTTAAATAAAGTTCTATTACTCAAAATAGTTTTTAATTTTAAATATTTTAAAATTTATTTTAAAACTCGACTCGATCCATCATGTCATATGAACAAAAATTTCACTCCAAAACTGGAATAACATGTCTTGGATATTTGAAATATAATTTCAATTTTTAATTTTTAAAATAAGTATGATTTTAAATTTGACCGTCTTTATATTTTTCTAGGATGGTTATAGATAGAGTTTCAATTTCAACTTTATGAAAGAAATGTTACATTATACTAAAAAATTTAAATATAAAAATCTAATTTGGATATCTAAATATGAGATATATAAAAAATAATTCGGAAATACAAGTATTATAACACCAAAATATAAATTTGGTTTAGTTAAAGTCTTTAAAAATAATATATATACATATATATACCTAACCATGTAAATTTTGACACTCGAATGGTTGAACGCCAACTCGTATAACATTTTAACGATCTAAATACACAATCCGAAATATTTATATACCCGAATTTTCGGATCGTAATCTTCTAATTTGGCCATCCCTAAATATTGCATTGGTTAGGGGGTCTCCCATAAGTTTTGGAGAGGAGATACATACGTATGTATGTATATGTATATGTATTCATTCAAAAAGTCTAATGATTGGAAAGTCAAATCCTTTATTAAATTTGGGTAGGAGGCCGATGCTTCACCCACTTGGTCTACGAACTACGATGCTTTCGGCTGTTTTCCTTTGTGAAAACACATCACACGACTCATATGTTACGGTAGGCCCATGCCATTTATATCGTTATAAGATTACGATAAGACATTACACATCACATATATTTCATTTTTTTTATATATAGATATATAAATGAAAAATGCAACAAAGGAAAAGGAAAATAATTGTTAGGACAGAGCCGCGTTCATGGAACAGAGACATAGCAGCCGACGAATACAGAGGTCGGTGTGAGCGACGAGAGCCTCTTTTGTGGGGCCCATTTCTTTATTTAATGTCGAATTTGTGAAAAAATTCAATTTTTGAATAATCTTTCTCGCCATAATCTGATATCACCTTGTAATTAACGCCCAGTTACCTGATTTTTCGGGCATTTTGCTGGCAAAACAATACCTAAAACAAATGTTCCCAAGAGTTCGACAAATTTTAGTTAATAATTTAAAATTCAAAGTGCTATTTAATTACAATTAGTCAAAGTTAATAGATATAGTTTCAATATAAAAACTGCGACTTCCATTTTCTTGTCAGCTCGCATGTTAGAAGATTGTAAATTCTCGCTAAATCACCAATCGGAAAAATAGTTAATCTAAATTATTTATTTTGACTTTAAATAATATGTTTTTTTTTTCAAAAAAAAAAGTCCAAGCGAATGTCGTTATATATACACACACACACACACTTCAATTCTATCTTTAATTTTTGTACCTAATGTTATCTTAAAACTGAATTAATCGTACGTAATATACACAAAATCATTTTGCTCTTTTCTAGTGAAAATCGAAATGGTTTTATCTTTGTCAAAGTTTTTTCATCTTAGTTTTTGCTATTTTTTCACCACAAGAAAAAAATTGTAAGTGGTTTATAAATTTTTTAATGTGGTTTTAAAATAATCTTTAAATTGTTTTATTTTTATTTTTATTTTTATTTTTATGTTTATACCTCCGTTTCAAAATATTTGTTGTTTTAACTTATTTCACATTTTTTTAAGAAATGAAAATAAAAGTCATATATACCCTTTATTTAATAATAAAAACAATATTATCATTAATAATGTATTGGAATTTGGTAAAGATAAAATTAGAAATTATTTAAACAAAATGTATTGGAAATGTAAAATGAGAAATATTTTAAAATATGGATAATAATCTAAATCTACAAATATTTTGAAACGGAGGGAATATTGTGTTAGCAGGAGTGTATGATTCATGGCCTTAAAATCGTCGTCATGCTTAACTTGGGCAGCTGAGAGGCTGTTGAACACCGGCAGCGCGTGCAATCTCTCTCTCTCTCTCTCTCTCTCTCTCTCTCTCTCCTCGCATTGTGCGTGGATTTGTCTCCTTCTCTCCTGCTTTCATAAGCCACGAGCTTCGCCGTCTTCCTTATCCGATTGAACCTGCGCATTAATTCGATTCGAAATCTGTTCATCATCAAGGGTTTCTTCGCTTCTTCCTCATTCCCTCTGAATGCCATACCTGTAGGCTGTATCAGGTCAGTGATTAGCGATCTTTCTGGGTTTTGCATGTTTGATTATCGGATCGTTTCCGAGATTTGATTTCTGGGTTTATCTGGGTTTCTCGTATGATCCACAGAAAAGGAGAAAATTTTGGATTTTTTGTTGTTGTACTGTTATCCGTTGTTTAAGCTTTGATTACACTGTTTGAATCGTTCTTCATTGTGATTAAACTATTGGGTTTAGTTTGACTGAATGCTTTCTTTAATTAAATCAAATCTCTGCATTTTTTTAATTAGATATTGTCAGATACTGTGATTCCCTTTACATTTTCTATTTTTGGTATGAACATTGAGAATATGTCTGTTGCTTGAACCAGACATTAAGCTTCTTCTTGTCCTATTTGGGATTTTTTTCCGAGTTTTCAGGCAATCAAAGATTTGGGAAAGTGAACTGACTTCACCGCCATGCCTCTGTTCGAGCTTCTCGGGCTTACAGAAGCTAAGCTTGAGTCATCTCAAGAGAAGAAATCTTCTGTGTAAGCTTAATCTCTTCATCTGGTTTCCTGTTCTGCTGATCCTCTTGGCTTTATGTTCTTGTGTATTCACGGTTTTTCAACTTCGGATTCATGACTTCATCTTTTGGCGACATGTTCTTGGACTGGTGTGAACACAGACACGAGGATGATCTGGTCGAGCTGGTGTGGGAAAATGGTCAGATTGCAATGCAGAGTCAGTCGAGCAAGTCGAGGAATTCACAGGCTTGCACTAATTCTATCCCACGAGCCGTTCAATCAAACACTTCAAGAGCTAAGGAGATTGGAAATGGCTCTGATGCTCGGATTGTCAGTCCGCTGAACGAGATTCCAATCTCCGTGCCCTTACTTGGACCGGGTTTGAGTCAAGACGACGACTTGGTTCCGTGGTTGAATCAGCCACTTGATGAATCTTTGCAAACTGGATATTGTTCTGATTTCTTTCCTGATGTGTCTGAAGTCACTGTCATTGAACCAGAGGATGATGTGACCCGTAATCAGTCGCTTGCAAATTCCCAATCTGTTTCGGTACACGATGAGTCAACTCGATATGGGCGTGGCACGAGTCAGTCATCTTCGTCTCGGTCTAATCTTTTCCAGGAACCATCCCCGCTGTATCAAATCGACAGAGCGAGGAATGTTCAAACTGTCTGTGAAGAATCATGTTGTTTGTCTCAGAAGCAATTACCTGAGCTGCCTAGTAACAAGCTTGGTTTGGTAAACTTTTCTCATTACTCTCGCCCTGCCATGTTGGCTAAGGCTAATCTTCACGGCTCGGGTGTAGTGACCACGCGGGAAATGGGCAGCACAAGTTCAGCCGCCGCAACTAGTGGTCGCGATCATGTGGAAACCCGACTTCTTGAATCGGGTAATAAGCTAAGGGGAGAAAAAAGCTTTCATAGTGCAAAGGTGCCGGGGGATGGGGTTCTTAACCTCTCAGTTGCTTCTGATCCGGCTAAGTTTGTTGCCTCGGGTTCTTCCTCCAAGGGTAATGAAAAGGTTTGTCACATTTTGGGCAATTCATGTGGAAGAGATCAGCCTAGTGAAATGGCGGAAGAAAGTTATTCTCTTCGCTCGGGTAATAATAGTCTCGAGGAACATTATGATGGCCCTTCACGTTCTCTGAACAGACAGCAGTTGGATGCTCGGGACATGACAATCCGTGAGCAGGATATTGAAGAAGAATCAATCGATGCTAGAAAGGCAGCGCCTTTACGTGCAGGCTCGGGTTTCAAGAGAAGTCGTTCAGCGGAAGTTCATAATCTGTCTGAAAGAGTGAGTACGATAAAGCCTTGTTTCATTCCGAACTCACAAGACGAAACAGATTTTTAGTGTTGTTACACATGTTTCTGATTCTTCTTTACGACTTTCCCGGTTCTGTTTTCATCCGTTCCTCATGTTTTTTCAGAGACGACGGGATAGAATAAACGAGAAGATGCGTGTGTTACAGGAACTCATACCGAACTGCAATAAGGTCAGTGCCCTTCGGATATGGCTGTAACCTAAGGCAAAAACTCATTTGGATATAAGATATCGGCCCGAGCTCGGAAGTCAGAAGTTTGGATAAAGCAAAAACCGGAGTTTTAATATATGATTGAGCTTTACTAACTTGGAACATTCTGCCATTGTTAAGGTGGACAAAGCTTCAATGCTCGACGAAGCAATTGAGCATATCAAGTCACTTCAACTGCAGATACAGGTAACCCTAAACCTCGTTTCTTTCTTCTTCGATCCGCTTACTTTCAGAACATCAAAAACCGAAACTAATCGATACCATCTGAACAAAAAAAAACACCCATCAGATCATGTCCATGGCATCTGGATACTACATGCCCGGCATGCAACCTATCCACCCGGCAATGCAAATGCCTCGTTACCCGGAAATGGCAACGGGAATGGGTATGAACTACGGAATGGGCATTACGCCTGATATGAGCTGTGTTTCACCAAGAGTTCCAATGGTTCAGGTCCTTCCACAGTTCCAGGCCTCAGGGCTGCAACCGCTTTCCCGTCCTGATGTCTCGATGGCTCGTGTTCCCGGAGGTTTGGTTACGGGTTCACGGAGCGAGATCCACGGCTCTGCGGTTACAGAGACGGGTAAGGTTACTGATCCGACCAAAGAAACAGGTTCCAAGGATGAAGTGAAGAACAAGAGCTTGAAACCGTTGCAGAGTAGTTGTAGTTGTAGTGATGTCTTAACAAAGCAAGTGTATGATCATGTTTGTGGATCTTCATGATATTTATATTGGTTATGTAACGAGGTTTTATTAAATTCATGCCTTGCATGGTAATTATACAAAACAGAATCGAATGTATCTAAATCGAATTCAATTGAAGATCTGGTTAGATGCGATCTTTCGAAAAATCGTTCCAATCAAATATAAAACTAATCCATACTTTTTTAAAAATAAATATAAAAAACAAATATAATTCGATTTTTTTTTATTACAAGCCAAATATATAAAAATTTTCCAAAACCAAAATACCACTATATACGTATAGTTTTTCTTTTTTTCGTTATTGAAATAATGTGTCGCCAAATCATTGGTTTGTTTTATCTAAATACATTTTTTTTCCTTCGCCTATAATATGGCATCTTAAATAAAAAAAATTGAATTAGTTGTTAATTTCCGTATTTTAGGATATCTCAAGTTTGTTTTCACATAGAATTTTAAAGCTATTCCCAACAATAAATTTGTTTGCTTAAAAGAATTCCAAAACTGTAACCAGAACTACAATTTTTTTTTATAGAATACTTTATTTAAACGACACTTCTCACATGTTAATTTTATTTAATCACGATAGTTTAGTTTAATGTATATCAGAAATTCTATTTAATACCTTGTCGATTTATTATTTCATCTATATATAAATATATATATATATATATATATATCTTTTAAAAAACTGCGATATAAGTTCAATTTTTTACAAGAAAATAATGAAAATTAGTTCATATAATTTTAATTTCATGGAAAAAATTTAACTTACAAAAATTTGCCAAACTGTGACATGAGGATTTTAAATGGCTTCAGATTTGAATGTTATAATTGGGCTTCTTAGCCCAACAATAAAAACTATAGTTTTAATTCAATCCTATTAAATCCAGAATGCTTTTACGATTAATGTTTTAAATTAGTATATAGTCCTGAATCTTAATAACTCGTTACTATTGTATTTTGATTACAACTGCCGAATTTTTATTTAGAAAAACTTAATTAATTGAGAAAATTCATGAGTAATTTGGACCATCATGACAAAAAAATTAAATTTCCATGTAGTTTTTATTTGCATAACAAAATCATACATCTGTTTTCTGTTTGATAAGAAAACCCGTTTGTCCGTATTTATTGTCGGTCGAATTGTATTAAATACATTTAGACCCTTTGATTTTTATAAAAATTTGCGTCCACCCAGAAATATACAATTAATCTATTCCAAACAAATATAGATTTTTTTTCCTTTTGATTAATTTCAGGAAATTATATTTTTGGATAAAACTTTAAAAACATCATATATATATATATATATATATATATATATATCTGGATCGTATCATATATAACATTATATAAGATATTATTTTTTATTAAATTAAATAGAACCGGATAGGTCATTTGAACGAATTCTCATAAATTACTGCGATTTCGTATGTTTACTTCAGATAAGAAAAATAGATAGAGTTCATTGTTTTTTTTTATAAAAAAAATTACAAAGAGGAGGTTTGATTTTCTAATATCTAATCCATGAAACACATACTTTAAAACATGTATAAAGCATTGAGAACTCAAATGGAAAGGAAAAAAAACATGGTTTTAGATATTGATTAGACGCCTCTAATTAATTAATAATAATGAATAACGAGTTGGCACGAATTAGAAATAGAAACGTGGAGATAATAATGAATAAATATATTAAATTAAAAAGGTGTCTAGGAAGAAAATTGTGTATTATATATATATGTTTTAATCACATTTTCAATATATCATTACCTTATGGTTGTCATCATCTGTCCATCTTTTTTTTAATTGCATGGGTCCATATTTTGAGTGAAATTCAACAAGAAACAAAACCCTATGTTCAACACATCCACCTTAATCATTTTTTCCTTCTTCTCTAAGTTTATTTTCTTTATTTCCGATCCGTAATGATCATTTTATAAAGCCATTGATCTTTTTCGCTAATCAACATCATTAGAGTAATCTGTACTATCATAATTGTTGTGAAAGATTGTGATTCCGATTGAGGTCAGATGATTATTATTATTATTAGGACTTTAGATGTAGTTAGTAATATTCATTTAAAATGGATTTTTTATAACAATATTTGTTTTTAAAATTAAAAAATATTCAAAGAAATTATACCTTCAACGATGTATATTGTTTTTTTTTATAAAAGACAATAATTTACTACAATCATAAACCCTTTCTTTATTATTAATTGAAAGATTAGAGTTTTTTTTTGTTTGGTTTGTCATGTTTTCTTTATTTCTTTTCTTTTTTATGAGAAAATTACGTGATCCATGCATGAAACTTATCCATATGTTTTCTCAAGACATAATTATGTGGAATGATGGGATTTAAGCACTTGATCATTGTTAGGAGGGTCCTAATTAACTTACATTATTTATTAAGCATTTACCATACATGTCTAGTTAAGTTACGATCACCATAGGTGAATCCACATATCTAGGTAAGGGAAGATATGTGTTTAACGTGTAAATGTTTAAAATAATTAGGTTTTAATCCGTGTCTGTGATTATAATTTAATTGATAAGCCGTTCTCATTGTCTCATATTTGGAGAGGCCATATGAAAACTATACAAATTTATCATAAAACATACATAAATTATATAAAAAATATTTTATAATATTTTAATATAAAAAGTGATAATTCAACTAAATAAAACTTGATATATATTAAAGAAATTTTTTTATAAAAAGGTACAGACCAAAATATATTAATTATTCATAAAAAAATTCCATGGAGAAAGAAAAAGTTTTTCTATTTATAAAAAAATAATACTATAGTTATATAACACTATAATTAATTAAATACTCTTTTTAGGATGTGAATTGTTAAATATTGATATGAAAAAATTGTAATCTAAAGTCACTTTTATTTCTTACAAATTAAATTGTTATTTTTTAATCAATTTTGAAATGTTAAAGTTAATGTTATAAAAAGATAAACCGTAATTTACCCTAATATAGTTATTTTTAGTTTTGTCACAAAATTTAAAAATATAATGCCGTTTTCTAAAATCCATAACTAAATTTTAAAAACTTAAAATTATTATAATTGTTTAAATGGGATCCAAAAAAATTGGAGGCCAAGTGCAATTACAGCACACCCCTGTTTATATATATATATATATATATTCAAAGGTTTCTTCTTCTTTTTTTCTTTTGGGG